ATTTCCAAAGCATTTAAAATGTTTCGAAGGGTTTGATTTGCCTCAAATAGGATTAGCAACTAGCTTGATTTGATAAAGTTAAAAGAGATGCTTCATTAGTTTCCTTGGAACTGAAGATAGATCTGTCCACTTTAAAAGTCAGAGTTCAGAAACTTGAAACTTAAATTACAAAATGAATATGAGAAACATGAAAAAACAAGACAGTTGTAAAAGTAAGCCAAGGAAGATCACAGTTGTGGATAAGTTTCTCTTTTAATTCTTTCAGTACTTGCTAAACTGTGGGTGGGTGCGTAGGACAATGACCCCATTGCTCATCATTAATACAATTAAGTTAACTCTGAAATTAGATTTTAGTAGTCAAAACTAAAGGCTAAAAACTGAAGCCCCATTACTTGTATGATCCCTTATTACCTCTAAATGTATGTCTATGGAATTACTTCTTAGCGGAGCCATTTTCAGTTTTCAGAGTAAAATTACCTACTATCTACAACACGATACTGACTTTATGTAGAGTGGATAGTCCTTGTTAGTTAAAATGTGGTTAATTTGCAAACCATAAATACTGCTCCTATAATTTCTTGCTTCTCCAATAACATCAAAAACTGTGATAAATGACCCTGCACCGTAGGGTCAGATCTACCATTTCAGCCCACAAGAGGCTTGAAGAAAACAGTTCATCTGTGACTGTGCAGTAATCAACAGCTTCACATGCTTACTTCCAACCAAACCACATTTTAAAAGTATGTGCATGTTGCTAAGCTGCTAGCCCTAATTCCTCAGTTCCTCAAAGTGGATGTTCTGTAAATAATAACCACTCACTTTGGCATTTACTGTTCTGTAAAACGTAAGGCAGAGGCCGCAGAAGCAAGCCCCAGTAGGAACAGAGTTGTTTCTTCCAAAATCTCACTTTATTCTGAGTTACCATTACAGACAGTAAAATATATTTATGTGTCTCAATTAACTCTGTAAATTATACTGGGTCCTGGAATGGTTTAAAGGCCCTTCTGCCCAATTATATTTACTTCTGTTTAGACAAATTGGCAAGAAGCTACTGTATGCTGGCTCTCAGCCACCTCGGAGCTCCTTCCATTTACAGTCAATTTTACCAAAGAAATATTATTTCTATATTACAGATCCCTGAAGAGTATTAATAAGGGAAAAGAAGGAATAATAGCCTGTTATGTTTATTTTCTCTTGCTCCCAATCAGCATAAGGAAGAAACAAAACTTTTTGAGTAGGCAGTTTAGAATTTCCAGGAATGCAGTGTTCTGAGAGATGGAAAAACTCAGAACTAGTTCCTTTCAAGAGAAACTCTAAAGTATTATGTGCATCTGCCCATGTGTTTCTAGTGCATTACTTTTTTTTTAATTTTAATTTAATTTTTTTCCCTAAACAGGGGCGCTAGGGTTTGAATCCAGGATCTTGTGCATGCCAGGCATGCACTCTACCACTGAGCAATCCCCCCCACCCCCTAGTGCATTCTTTTCTAGTGACAGGCAAAGTTCAGGAGAACTAGGTAGGTCCTCCAGCTTCCTGCTTATATTTCAAAAGTTAACCCAAAGGCAATTTTAAAGAAAGCAGTGTCCTGAAAATGAGGTGTACCAAAACTCAAACACATATACTATTGGGTAGGTCAAAATTAGAGGGAGACATGATGTAATATTACAGGAGCAGGGCTTGGAGTCAGATGAGTCTGAGGTCCATCACAAGCTGCAAGACTCTGGCTCTCCAGTAAATAAGACAACCCTCTCTAAAGCTCCATTTCTCTAGAACGACACTGTACCTCTCACAGTTGAGAACTCAAATTCAATACCCCATGTACATCAGCCTGCCCATAATAGGCCCTCTGAGAAACTTTGCTTGCCAGGTCCTGAGAGAAAAAGAAGGACCCCGATTAGGGCCACGCTTGGGTAGGAAGTGTGACCCACTGAGATATTCTCCCAGAGCACAGCATGGTAAAGAGCAGGGCATGTAGCTTGACAGCGTATTTTAAGCAAGTCATTCCCTATGGGAAGTGAGGGAGTTAGACTAGACCAGAAAGCAACCAATATCTCTTCTAGCTCTAAAACTCTACATAAGCTACAAAAAAAAGAAAAAAAACCCAACATAAATCAAAACATAAAAAACCCACTGTTGCAAGGAGCGTACACCAAAGAGATCACAACCCCTGAGTTTGGATTCTGCCCTTGACAGAGTGGAAGACGAGGCCAAGTCACACTACAGCGGTTTCCCCTCCACATCTGACAGAGAGTGGCAGGTGTTCCCGGAAGGCTCAAGAACAATGTCAGGCAGCAAAGGGTAGGGGCTGTCCCGGGGGTAGAAGGGAAACTTGGCTTTCGGGGAAAGAAACTCGGAGATGTGAGGGGAAAGCACCTGTTACATCTCTTAAGGGATGCGGCCTAAAAGGAGGTTGGGCCCGTTGTGAGAAGCTGAATGTGGGACCCCCATCCCCGAGCTGGAGGAGACGCGTTTACCGCCGCAGAAAGAGAGGGAGAGAGGGAGCTGGAGACGGAGGAGGGAGGTGAATGCAGGAAAAGGGCCGAGTGGGGCCCTCGCCCCAGCCACTCACCACGAGCGGGATGGAGCAGATGAGCACCACCAGGGAAGTGGCGATGAGTAAGATGACCATCTGGATCTCAGCGCCCGCGATGCGGCGGAAGCTCCGGCGGCGGCGAAAGCGCGTCGGAGGCGCGGCGTGGGCGGGGGAGGGCGGGCGGGCCGGGGTCGGCCGGCCGG